GGAGACACTTTCACTGTTGGCCACACGCCATCATCCCGATGCTATTCTTATCCTGGCTGATCGATGACATTTTTCCAGCTGTCTGGGGGTCACATCTTACTGAGATGGAGGGGGGGGTCACCAATTATGTGGAGGCAACAACCTTTATTCCCTTTCTTCTTCCGTAAATAGGCAGTTTTCCACACAAATGTGGATGAGTCATCTGGCACTCGACGGCACATGGTGTGAATCATTTATCAAAATGTGTCCAGCAGGTTTGGCTTTTCTTACGTAAAAGCGTGCTTCTTTTGATCAAAACTAAAACATCAGATGGAGTAAGCAAGGAGCACAACAGCTCTGCAATTTAACTCAAACATGCACGTTTCAAACCATGTAGACATGTCACAAAAAAGCTATGTTTAATTAACAGCTACTTAGAAACCAGTTAGTGTTAAAGCAAGTGAGGGAAGATCCAGGTGTTTTTTACACATGCCTGAACTGAATAAAATAAAACAAAATTTGAATTCCAATTAATTCAGCAATTGCCAGCGCGTTTGAAAAGGGAACCTAAATAGGATGTGAGATGGCTGGCAGTCCCCACACTCAGAGGAAGGCGTAAAAATAACATGTGTGTTACTGTACACACTTCTGGCAACTCCTCCTCCTCAACTAGGTTGATTATTTTAAGCACTGTAAGATTGATTCTGTGGCCCTGTGGGGGCCTTGCGGGTCTGTGTTAGCAAAAGTGAAGGTGCAAGCAGACCAGAAAAAGGAGGTGGGAGAATAGTTAGGACGGGGGAGATCACAAAGGAAAGGAGGTGTGTAGGAGATGGGAGGAGAGGAGGAGAAAGAACTAGAGGTGGTCTCTAAATTTCTGAGGTTATTAATAAGTGAGTATATTCAAGGACATCTGTGATGATTTGGGTCAAACTATTTCCTCTTCCTCCTGAGGAGCTCCAAAGTCACTTAAAAACGGCCCCCGAGATGTCTCTTCTTAATCTGCTGTCTTTGTGTTCAAGCAGTGGAAAACCACGATGAGACAAGATGGCAAGCTATTCAATTCTCCAACAAAACACCACCAATTCATACGGGAGAAATTTTGCTTTGTTGGCTGTTTATTTTCCGATGTGTTTGCAACTGGTGTGAGAAAATCATGTGAATGCCAACTACATATAGAGACGGAGAGAAACAATTGAATATTGTGCTTGGTAAACCCAGCGACAAGCACGAAATGTTCGACAAGCGCTCAATGGGTTCAAAACAAGCTCTTCTGTCTGTCAATTAAGGCGTTAACAACAATTTGGACTGTCATATCTAAATGAATTGGACCCTTTTTGGCCATTCATCATATAAACAAAGAAGCTTGATATGGTCTGCCACACAAAGAGCTCTTAATGTTGCCACATCGGTCGGAATTCCTCCATTTCAAAAGAATATTTCTACCATCTTTTTTATTTAACATTTTGTTTTTTTGCAAACCAGTTGCGATTTGGCCAGTTTTCCCCCCAAAATGCAGAGCTTTCGTGGTGAGTTGATACCATATCTTTTATTACTGAAAATCTACATGACATTTCCATACACATACATCTTAATCTCCAAGGACCAGCTGCCCAGGACGAGATTTAAACACACTGATCCAACCAATAGGAGATTCAACTTATCCCTTGCGGTCATGATCGGGGTAAACATGGTGTCTGCCTGCCATCTAGTGGTCATATTCAACTACAGCAAGAAGCCCAAACAGGGTATCATTTGGTGTATTTAAACAAAAGTAAAAAGTGGCTGCAACAGAAATGTAGTGTAATTAATTAATATTCAAGTGAACTTTTATTTTTCTTTAACAACCTTAAAAACTGGATTTAAGCTCCGCTCAAGAACCCTAGAAGACTACCATCCACCCACATGCTGGTCTCTGGCCAACAAAACAAATCCTATAAAGAAGATTTTATATTAACAATAAGAAATCATACGGTCCTGATCAAGAAAGCAAGACACCATGTATTTATTAATGCATTAATGCCTGGGGAAAAGTGGGAAGTGGGAAACTTTAAGCCTTTTTAAATATTTTTGTGACATATTTACATTGTCATGGTGGGATAATTTGGCGTTGGATGCACATACTGTTCCACATCTGCTATATGCCTATTTGACCCCTGCCCTTTCCACTCTGGTGCTGCACTTTTATGCTCTTTATGCTGCAGTTAATCATCTTACAACCTGCCTGAGCAGCCCTGTTTGTCAATGCTTTTGGGTGTCTAGCACGGTGAGGCTACCTCTCATTTCTTCCACAATGTTGTAAAAAACTTTGGTTTGAAGCAATTGGACGATTGTCAGTTAGATGGAAATGACACTTGTGGGTCATGGTGCGTGGCATGACCTACTGACATTAGGGCATGGCCTGCACATGCCCCCTAACAGAGTGGGCTCACGTATCTCTCTGGCCCAGATTCACGGCCTTATCAGACCTTTTCATTAATTCGTTTCCTGACCTACTTTTGTACCAGCTCCTTTCAGAGCACAGGCTTTTTTGCCAGCAAAACTCCAGTGAATATGAAGACTATTCTGTTTTGACATTTTTATTTAAGCATGAACATGTACCCCCAATGTAAGCTATGCTTGGTTTGCCCACATATGTCACATTTATGGGTTTCTTGGAGTTTGTATGAGACATCTATGATCTTTAGGGGGAACTGCTGTCGTGCCAAATAAATTGACCATTTTTGCATGAAGACTGCCCAAATGATCCTACTGCCCTTTGACCTGTGAGATCTCCTCTTGATATGGTTTACTGTATGAGGAAGCTCTGGAACTTTGAAGATTTTCACTTTTACAAAATATAAACTATTTCTGCATGATCTCCAAAAGATGCCCAACCTCATTCTTTAACATACTTAGTTATCCCTGAACAAGAATATGGAACTAATCAGACAAGAAATCTATGCTGAGTGAGAGAAAAATCTAAACTGCATTGAACGTTTGGATAGCCAACTTGTATTTCAACAAATTAATTACAAAGTGCCAACAATTACTATAAGACACTTCCAAATAGAGCAGGAAAATCTATTTCAAACATGTGTTTTCATGATTTCCAAACTGCATGATATACTGGCAGATAGTCCTCCACTGGCTGACATTTCCTGCATGGGCTATCAGCTCTGACCGTCTAGTTGCAGAGTTTACATTACAGTAAATTAAATTCCATTAAATTTTGGCCACTAACCTAATTAGGAAGACTCAAAAAATTCAAGGCCACCAAAAACAAACAAACAAACAAACAGGAAAACACCAGAAATACTGATGTTTATCCCCAAATTCTAATGACTGTATGCAGAAGGTGTTGGACAATCATGCCCAATGCAATGGAAAAAAAAGGCCGGGAGTTTTGTTTTTAATGGAAAAAAATGTAACTTTGTGCAAATTTCAAGAAAGTAGATGAGTCAGGGACTGCTTGAGCTGCTTCAGGCACAAATGTGTGTCAGGAGAGATAATTGACGGCTGTTTGTGACCTGCTTTGATGTAATTATCTGATGGCTTTGTTATCCATTCGACCCAATCTTGAGAAATGTAGAACAAAAACGAACAGGGAGAAACGTGGGCCAGGTCGGAAAGAAAAAATAGTAAATGATGTGTTTTATTGAGTTTCAAAAGATAAGTGTTTTAATAAGTGGTTTTCAGTGCCAGTTTTCAGGGATACCGTTCAATCTGTTCTTGAATGGGCAAAATGTGTTGTAAATGTGTGAGTGTAGTATTTTGATATTGCAAAAATATTCATGTCTAGCGCTTGAAAATCAGGAACAAATATATGATTTGGAAGGTATTAAACTACACCTATTACACTTGTTCCTTGGAACTGAGCTTATCTTAATTTGCTTATTTATCTTATTCATAACATTTACTGTTGAGGGAGATGTGGGTATCGCTGAACACAAAAGAGGAAGAATGCTGCATTTTGCTGACATAAATCCCATCCACTATGTGACACTGAATGGGACAAAGTGTAAATGAATTAAACATTAAGTAGAGGGCTATTAGATATTTAGCATATGTTGTAAATTCTTCCTAGTTAATATTCAGAATAGAGATATAAATTCTTCATGATTGATTTTAGTAAACAAGTTTGTTGACAAATTTGATTAGAAAAAAACCTGAGGCCACTGGGTCTTTTCCACAGGGAGCAGATGGGAATAATGGGTGTATTAAGAGCTTAGATAAGGCTCCTGCAGCGTTTTCACCCAGGTAGGACACAACAACATGAGCTGTGACCTGACATCAGCTGGATGACACATTGATGATAACAGTTGATATAGAAGTCTTCTGTGATGAATTGGGGAAATCATTTTGAATAGTAAATATGTTTAGTGAAAAAAGAGTAAAAATCAATCTTAGTTTTGTCCAGATTTGATTGATTTTCACACTTTTCTTGAAGTTTGATTTGAATCTTTTGATTGATTTATAAATAACCGATGCTGATCATTTTCTCCCATGCTACACACACACGCAAACACACACATGTCTCCTGACTACAATGACCCACGGTAGCATTATTTGAGATTAGTATGACACCCGCTCCCTCGTGTATAGTGTATTGTGGAGCCCATATTCTCCTGTGTGACCTATTAAAATAAACAGGGATTCTCTCTGAAAGACAAACACGGACTCACCCACATTTTAAAGAAGGTGCTCTAAAAACGGCTGTCCCCTGACGAGCTGCCAGGAAGGATGTTTTGCACAGAATTTTAGTGGGACACTGAAGGTGGATTAAGGCTTCCATAAAAGAGGATGGAAGCCCTCAACATTTTCAGACATTCAAAGAGCAGGAAAACTAAAAGGAGTCGGGCTGCTGAGACAACAGTGAAGGGAAATAGCTGAGGAAAATATCTACTTTTGTCCTTTTTGATATTTTCTGGCACCACTGATTTCATTGGCTAAGACTTTTTTTCTTAAGGTTTGTATGAATTTGAACAACTAGTATTCTGGGAGTTTCTTGACTGCATCTGATTACTATTTTATGTACTGCTGCAATGCACTTTGCTCACTTTGCTTGTCTCTCCTCTAGTATGCCATTGCTTACGCTGAGAGGTGCTCTGCTCTCCGTCATGATGGTTGGAACAGTGTACACCTGTACGCTGAAGAACCACACCATATGGATTGAGACACAAAACTGCACCCAATGTGTGGCTATCAACACAACCATCTGCAGTGGTTATTGCTTCACAAGGGTGACAACTGCTATACTCACTCACATTGAATTTTTCAAACATTTAGAAAAATGTGCAGGATTATTTTTAACTAATTTTCTGTGACACGCAACCTAACTTGTTTTAAAAACAATCAAAAAGACGATCAATGCCTTCTTTTGTACTTGTGCACATGTTTCACAGCCCCAATGTCTTTTCCCCAGGATACCAACTTGAAGGGACGGTTTGGAAGGACTTTTTTGATCCAGCGTAGCTGCGTTCCTCTCTACCTGGCGTACCGAGCTGCATTTATTCCTGGCTGCCCTCAGGATGTCAACTCGCAGTTGTATTATCCCGTGGCTCTCTGCTGCAGCTGCAGGCGCTGCAACACACGCACACACCACTGTATCCAGCCCAGACCATTCTCCTATGAACAGTGCTCCCTCAGACTAAGCAGTGTGGAGAACCAGAACCGGACATGCTTTGGAAACACGACAACATGCTAAATGAAGCAACCAGAAGTTAACCAGATGAAACAATGCTGTTTCTGCCTAATGCTGTTGCACAATTCTGTTCATAAGCTGTTCCTGTTGTGTTTTCTGTATTTTAATGGGTAATTGCTACCATAATAAAGCCCAATGTTGAGCATGTGCTACATCTATGGACTACATTTCCTGAGAAACTTAATTAGAGGACCATTAAGAAAATAGGACAAACCGCAAAGTAATGAAAATCCTTCTGATAATTGTTGCATCTGGGTGGAGAACTTTCACATATTGTTAACATGTTTGTACATGCATAGGCACATAGTGTTTGAGTTCAATGAGACACAGGGACATTTGTGAACAAGCCAGAGCCCTCTGAGGCATAGCTAGTCTGTGACTGACAGCCATGTATTGCATCATCCCCTGAGAGCAACAGCCAGGTTCACCCGTCCCTATTTCTAAGGAAAGCCTTAACATTCACTTTGCTGACTTTTATATGCGATTTGTCTTTTTCTTCTGCCCTTTCTGTAATTTAAAAAAACTGAAAAGAAATTGAGACTGTCACCGATTCTGTGTTAAAGCAATATTAAACATCTGATTTAATTTAAATGTAGGTTATTGTGCATTTTCTGACTGGTTGATTGATTTCTGAGGCTCTGAAATCATCCCCCTAAGCCCCAGGGTCTGGTAGGCCACTATTCACTGCTAATCCAGACTTTATTTTGATGCATTCAAATTTCCCTAAAGCTGGAGATTTTATTATTACAGTGTACAATTTGGTAAAGCCTTTTCACATATCATCTAGTCGTCATCATCATATTTCTTCAAACTGTATGACTGCAGCCTTGATAAACTTGCACAAAAAGGGATAGCTGTTTAAGTACAACTAAAGCTGTGAGAGGAGCGGTCTTGGTTGTATTTAAAAATAGTTCCTACCAACATTTGGTAGTTGATTCTTAGATGATAATGTGGTGTACTTATGGTTCTCCCTGGCTCTGATTCCTGGCTTGGAGTGCTGTGGGTGGAGAATGATGTCGTTATTATCCTGGGCGTTCCTCTATATATATAACCCTGAGTTTCCTTCAACTCTTGCCTTGCTCAGTGTCTCTCAGGGACTCTAAGCCTGCTCTCCCCTGGCGGCCTCGTCTATCGTGCTGATCAACTTTTGCACTCAACAATAACCAAGAGCCATGGCCCAGCAACAAAACATCAGGTATGGCCCTGTCCAGTTTATTATAGAAAAAATAAGAGCAGAACATGTCCTGATTATTTGATAGAATTAATTCTACAAAGTATATATTTCCACACTGTAGGATGTGTAACAGCTTATATACAGATACCATTCTCCCTGTCAATGAGTTATTTTTGGATGACCAGATTCTCAGAAACAGTCATAGATACCTAGTTATGTTTAAACCTCACACAGGGTAAACGGGCACACCTTGAGGAGAAGAATGAATGACTTTTTGTACATATCTTTATATCATTATTTGCCACTAGTTCTGTTCCAGCAGGTCTTTCAACCTTGACTGACAGTGCCCTTCCTTAATGAATTGGAGGAACAATAATGAGATGCTTGCTCTGACTTGTCTTCACGCAGCCTGCCCGCCAAACTGATCAATGGAGGGATTGCAGGAATGGTTGGGGTCACCTGTGTGTTTCCTATTGACCTGGCCAAAACCCGCCTGCAGAACCAACGCAGCGGTCAGCAACTCTACAAGAACATGTGAGAAAACTGACAAAAACATGGAAGATTTTGGTTTATTCTAACCATGACTAAATACCAAACATATACCAGTTTTGAGTCCTTTAGCACAGATATTGACCCAACAGCAGTAAATTCAGAAAATATTCTTTCATAGAAACCATATAGGTTTTATTTCAGACAAAAAGATCAGCATTGCTGCAACAACTGAAAAAAATGACCTAGCAGAATGTTGTGTTAGGTCTCCCATTTATCTGGTTCTTTTTCCCCTTCAGGATGGATTGCCTTATTAAGACAGTTAAATCTGAAGGTTATTTTGGCATGTACAGAGGTAAGACTTCACAGACCAACACTTATTGCTGACTATGAATAAGTTGTATGAGGATGAGTCTGTAACATTTTGTGAGATATTTAATTTTGTTTGTTTATACACTTACAAGTAAATACATGATGTAAACCACACTGGCCAGTTTGATCATATTACCAAAGAACATACAGTGTCACATGTTAGTGCCTGTAGATGGCCCAGTGGGTCAGTGATTCAGAGTAAGAGTAAGTCCTCTGCTATCAAAGGAATTATATTGATATAATGTATAAAAAAATAAAAGATCTGATACGTTTTGAGGTTTTTCATTTTGTTTTCTGCTACTGTGAAAGTTTTATCACACAGTGTTCATGTGTCAGTGACGGTGGTTGTGTGTTTTTTATTCCTTTGGAGTCATTTGTAATGAATGTTATTTGTATCTCACTGTTGCAGGTGCTGCTGTGAATCTTACCCTGGTAACGCCAGAGAAGGCCATAAAACTGGCTGCTAATGACTTTTTTCGCCACCAATTGAGCAAAGACGGGTCAGTAACAAGACGTGTTACTCCTGGCTGCATCAATTTCCCACATAATTTTTTATGTTCGTTCTTCTTACAAACTCATGAGTATATGTCTTCAGTGGCAGGCTTACTGTTCTCAAGGAGATGTTGGCGGGATGTTGTGCTGGAATGTGCCAGGTCATTGTCACAACGCCCATGGAGATGCTCAAGATTCAGCTGCAGGATGCAGGCCGGCTCGGTAAGATGGTCTTCATTCTCTTAAGATTAACATATCCTCGAGATGTTAACCATTATCACTTTTCTTTGAAAAATTAGGGCTTTTTGGCCTGGTAAAAATGGTCACACCTGTCTCTTCCAGCTGCCCAGCAGCGGGTGATGCCTTCCGTGGTGACAACAATGAAGATGGGGGGTACCAGTGCGGTTCTCAGTCGTTCCTATAACACCTCCCCTGCACCTCAAGTCACGCGTATGTCTGCGATACAGATCACCAAAGAGCTGCTGAGGACCAAGGGTGTCACAGGGTTGTACAGAGGACTAGGGGCCACGCTGATGAGGTATGATGGAAGCTCTCAACCAGTACTTCACCAGCTTTCTCTCCTTTTAGCAGCCTGACTGATAATTTGTATCTTTTTTCCTTTACAGAGACATCCCATTCTCTGTTATATATTTCCCTCTTTTTGCACATCTGCACCAGCTTGGCCAGCATTCATCAGAGGACCCCTCTGTGCCTTTCTATTGGTCCTTTATGTCTGGCTGCTTGGCTGGATCTGTAGCTGCTGTGGCTGTCAGCCCTTGTGACGGTGAGTCCAAATGCCCAGCGTTTCAGGGGATTTTTTTGATTTAAACTAAAATGTTGAGTTGCCAAGTAAAGCCCTAACTAATTAAGTGCTTCCCATGTTGTAGTGGTCAAAACAAGGCTGCAATCACTCAAAAAAGGAGCCAATGAGGAAATGTACAATGGAGTAGTGGACTGTGTGAGGTAAATATTTTAACTGAATTCTCACATACGCATCAAAAAGTCTACTCACAATGTTACTGCTGGTAATCTGACACAGATCCTATCCTTTGCTTTGCAGAAAAATCCTGAAGAAAGAAGGTCCTGGGGCATTTCTCAAGGGAGCCAGCTGCCGGGCACTGGTTATTGCCCCACTCTTTGGGATTGCCCAGGTTGTGTACTTTGTAGGAGTTGGAGAGTTCCTGCTGGGATACAGCCCATACAACATCTACTCGGCATAAAGAAGCTGTTTCCAGGCCTTTCTGCAGGCTCATTAAATGTTTGGCAGCTATGCTCCAGGCGTAGCGATGGACCCAGGTTTCTATTACTGTGTAAACACTTTTTTCTTGGAGGTTTACTGTGAAAGGCTAAAGGGACCAGAAAAATGCTGTTCTGTTACAAATGGTTTCCAATTATGCCGTTTGCATAATTATCTCTTAGAAACTTGGCTTGGACAGAAGCTTCATTATCTGTGGAGCTTCAGTACAGCTTAGTGCAACAGGAGAGAGCACTTATAGACTCAGTAGTTCAATACTGACTCGACCTTTCTCTCTCTTTCTTAGAATTAGCCCCCCACTCCTAGATACAAACCATGTAACATGCCCTTCACTGTAACCCTAACCTGTGTGCTCCAATCAGCTGTCTTCTCTCAGCAGCCAGGAAGTGATGGCTTTTAATGGTGTTGCAGGGGTAGACAACGGAATCTGGATGACCATTGACACTGTAATTGCTTCACTTCCAAACTGTTTTACAAGTCTGCTTGTGAGGGGGTCTCGATCTTATGTAAATATTGTAAATTGTTTAAAAATGAATGAAATGTTTCAAAAAGTCTGCTGCCACAAGTTGATACATCAATACTGTCCTTGAATCACCCCACTGGGAAAATTGTGGAAAAACGGATAAACGAGTCAAAGCATGTTCATTTTTGCCGCTCCATTGTGAGCCTCAAGCTGAGCTACTTGTTTCTTAACGCTCAGGCTTGAGTTGTGTAGATAAATCGCACAGCCCTGGTTTTCTGCAGATAACAGGAGAGCTACTGCTTGTCATTGAGGTAATGTTATTGGATCATGGCAAAATTAAAACGATGACAGACAAGACTTTTTCTATGGGTTCGTTTTTTTTGGGGACCAGGTCTTGCTGCTGCTTCTCTCAATCTGTTGTTCTGAAAACAAAACACATAAAATACTGTTTACCACTAACAAGCAGCTCCAGTGAGCAGCTTTCATCCAGGTCTTAAAATTGCTTTGTGTCCTTTATCTGTTCACTTTTAATCGGTGGAGAGGTGAAAAAGCAGCTTTAACTTTTCTTTTCTTTAACTTGTCAGAAGCATTTCAATCTGTTGAGAAAATAATGATTTTTTAAAAGTTCATTTTAGAACGATGCATGTAAATAAAGATTTCTTTAAGGGGAAAAATGCAGTGTTTTATTTCGTTGTTCGTAGAATAGGTTGCCTGGAGGTTACACATTACATCACACACATACCCTTAATAGTTCAGCATTTTTTCTGATGAGACTTTAAAAGATGTTGCTTTATTTGCCTACACACGCAGCAGGGGCATGGTGAAGTTTCTGGCAGTCAAAGTGCTCATGCGGCAGCGTTGGGGTAACTCTAGCCCGGGTAGCCCCGGACCCTCTGCTGCATTTCACACATAACTATCAGCTCAATTGACTTTTCAGCTGTTCTTTAAGCTCAACTACAGAAAGGTGAACCTCCGGCATTAGCTTCATGTGACTAAACTGGATAACTTGCTTCGTTACAAGGAATATTGGTTTTCACATGAATCATTGATTCATTCTAAATTTATACTCATAACTACTTTACACTGCAGGTTGTCCACCATCACAGCATGTGGTTGGTTAACTATCACCTGCTTATCAATATGAATATGAGTTCCCAAGAATCTTAGTTCTGTCACCCTATATGCAGATATATATGTATATATATATATATGAAATAAGAAAAGTAATCAGATGTAAAAAAAAGTATTTCTAAGTGAATAATCACAAAACGTACTTAAGATCAACTAGCAGTCAATGAGGAGATTCAGGAGTCACCATGAATACTTTTGAATTCATGTTTGAAGATTCACTTTCAGTTTTTATTTGCAAAGTCTTCAAGTAAAAGACAGTCAGACAACGATCAGAGACCCTGTTGTGACAGAAAGTAAGTTACAGTTGTTAATCTCTCTGAGGACAGAAGACAAGGACTCTATAAAGTTTCAGCAAATTTATTAAACTTCAAACACCTCTATTCCTGAGATCCCTGGAATGGTACTGAAATAAATTAACACAATCGTCTGTATGAATGTGTCCAGATTTAGTGTCACAAATGTTTCAAGGGAACACAGCAAAAGTCTTTGGAGTGAGTGGCGGTAAACACTGAAGCTCATTGAGCCTCTGAAGCGATAGACTAGTGCTCTCTTTTGTGTAGTCAGAGTAAACACTGCCACCTGGCATCCGGAAGTACTGTGTGACCGGTTATCGTCATCAAATTGGAGTCATATTCTACCGAAAGACAAAGACAAATCAAAACCCAAAATTATTTTGGGTTTGAGGCTGATATTTTTTTATTTCAGAATTCTGCTTGAACTATTTCAGCCAAACTTTTGACATGCACTTAACATGCATCATAACAAATGTGGTGGCGTTTGCCTTTTGTTGAACCTATATGAACAGAACACAGTAATTTGTGACCTACAGACAGCCTGTATCTCACCAGATACATTGTTATAAAGAAGGCACATTAAGAAACATTTTACTGTGATTTGCTTTGACCTTCGCAAACACTGTCATTACTACGACATTGTACAACTACAGTAAACACGTGTCTACACACTGTTAAATAGTAATTATCACATCAGCCACAACTTATGTACAACTAAAACTAAAAGAAAAAGAAGATATTTACATAATAAAGTCCTGACACGTGGATTAAATGTTACAGTATGAACAGCGACTATGCATACAATTTCTATAACCATTTGTATCTAATTCAGGGTCACTGAGGGGTGCAAGAGACAGACTGCACCCTGGACAAGTTGCCTGTCAGTCACAGGGCCACACAGAGACAACCACACATGTCAATACCCACTTCCAGAGTAAATTATAGTAAAGGTAGGAGGAAGGTAGGACGAATCTGAAAACCCATCCAAACACGGGTAGAATTTCACATCGAGAAAGGTTAAATCCAGGATTTAAAACAACATTTTTTTAGTTCTGAGCTGACAGTGCTAACCACCAGGTTAACCTAATAAGTTAAGTAACTAAGAGCAATATACAGAGTAATTACTTTTCACTTTTTCTTGTCAGGGGAGGCGCACTTTTAAGGCACAAAGGGGAATAACAGATGGCAGTGGGAGTCTCACCGACTGTTCTCAGTTTACTTAATGGTATATTTTTAGCCCGTAAACATGGCAAGACCATTTTAGTAACATTACACAGTCAACGGAGACCAAAGGGTTTACCATCTTATGTAATTCAGCATATTCATTGAGAAGGAAAAGGTATGAAAGTTCCCTTTATGCCACAGAAAAATGTATAGTTTCCTTTTCTATTTTCGATGTGGTAGTTTAACATTGTGTGACGCTGGTTCAAAGACTGATTTCAGTGAATAATGTTTTATGTTATACAAAATTCCTTTTCCAGTCATTTTTAGCTCTGTAAAAGTTGACATTCCTGGAATTTCCTGGATAATCTTGCACGTGTGCGCAGGCTTTGTTGAAAGCAAAGCGAAACGTTCAAACTGTATGTGTAGCTGTTTATGGAGATTTTTTTTTTTCTGTTTATACAACAAATATTTAGCCAGAGGCCATTTAGCATTTCACTGAGGTGTGTGTGCTTATGACAGATAAGCAAACTCCGATTGACCTCAGATTGCTCTATCTGGCTAAAGTTTCCCACAGCCGGAGGGTCAGTGTCAAGGCGGTGTGAGAAGGCACTGACACTGCTGTGACAGTATGTGGGTTCAAATCTGGTTGCCAAATGGTTGGAAGATTGTCCGGTCAACATAAACTGCAATTTTCCCACCTGGAATGGGAAAGTGTGATCGGAATGTTACAAAAAGCTAGGTTACTCCGTGTGGCCTGTGGCTAAAAATAAACATTGTAGGTCGGGTTAAATAATGTCAAACACTCAGCCAGGAGAGAGGAAACGAGCACCATCATGGAAATCATCTCTTAGAATGCGTTCTACTTATAGGGTTCCCCGTGTGGATGAGTGATAGCGGCTGAGAATTAATTCAAGTGCTGAAGTGTCATTAGACTCTGGACGGAGGAGCTGTGCTCAGATGACTTCTCTGCTGTTGCGAATGGCACAGCAGAGCACCATGCTGAAGATCATCCCAATGATCTGGAGAGGAAACAAAGAAACCAAGTTATTATTGATGAACTGCGCGCGCATGGTTCCAACTTCTTTCCCACTTCTGCCTCACCATCACTCCAGCGATGCCGATGCCCACATAACCGATGATGTACAGCTTATTGTTGAAGAAGTCTTGGATTCCTGCCTCACAGTCCTGCAGAGAACAGATAAGAGCCGTTAAATAGAGTTTCCTTCAAGTTAATCAGGATGTTTTGAATTTAATTATGGCATTCATAAGGTAATAGCGCTGCAGAAATACATTCCCGCCCTAAGCCTGGGGTCGGTGCCAAACCTTAATATCTGGTTCGGAATCAGGGCACGGGCTCGCTGCACTGCCACAACAGTTCAGCTGAAAATGAAAAAAGAGCATATGAAGGAAAGGAATGTTCCAAGGCCAGTTATTTTTCCATAAAACTAATGCGTCTACATTGTTTAAACTGGTGATTGCTCTCAACTCACCACTTTCTGATAAGATAGGATCATAGTGCTGTTGCTGTTTTCGTTGTAAGTGTTTTTGTAGAAGTTCTGGATATCTGCAATTATCTGTGTGAGACAGGAAAAGTTAGCAACATTTGGATCTGTCACACAGGCATTTGGAAAGCATTATTTCAAGCACGAAAAATCTACCTTGTCCTTGTTTAAAAATCCGAACACTCCCGCTGCAACCTCAGACCCGAAAATGACCAGCAGACAGGCAAAGAACTGGAAAAAGAGCATGGAAAGACGTATGAGTTTATGTATTTCGATTAGCAAATAAGATTACAGTGCAATTTAGTTTAGTTTCCTGTTTAAGTACGACGTGTGCACTCACTGAACCCAGCAGACACTGAGATTCTCGAACTGCTCCACAACAGCCGAAGAAGCCAACCAGCATCACCAAACTTCCAGCACCAATCAGAATGTACACGCCTAGAGAAATAAAATGGTCAGGAAATGTGTAATAGCAAGAAAACTGACAGAAAGCTGACTGAGTGGCTGCTTCTCAGATTATAGACAGTGACTTTACTCATTTTACCAGGAGAGGGCAGCATAGAGCTGACAACGTAGGTTTAACCTCTCTCTGTGCACTGGGTTAACGTTTCAGACTTTACATCGTACTGTTCATGTTGATACCTTTTTGGAGTGTTTATAGAATCCTCACTGACTTGTTTGCCAATAAGAGCCTGATTTACACAGCACTGTGGGATGCTTCATGCCCTGATCTCTAATTGGCCTTCTCATTAAGAAAACATACGTCATGAGAAGGTCTGCAGGGAGGGACAGATTTGTTCCACCACTGTGCTCTGACAAAGGTGGGGTTTGTTGGTAGGCAAAGCTCCACAGAGGATGGGTTGATAAGAATTATCCAGTGTTTAAATGGCTCAGGTGGGAACACTAAAACACCTCATAAGATCTCACTATAACCGGCACGCTGACTGGTTCTGAACTTCTTCCATCTGATGCTGATCTGAACGATGCGACCAATGCTAAGGGTCTCTCTTTTTGGGGGAAATAAGGAATCGATTGTAGTTGCTTTCCCTCTCAATTTTCACTCATTTGGAAGTTATTTCAATGATCTTTTCATTCGTCATTTCACAGCAAAACAGAAAAGAAAGAGGACTTCTGTGTGTGTTTGACACCATGGCAAGTGTTAAACGCTCTCAGTTGTGCCTGTGGGGATAACCCTCTCACAGTCAAAGTCATGTGTAGCACAACACTCCTAGGAAACCAGTCAAAGGCTATTTATCCTGCTTTAAATCACTCTTTTCTGCAGACGTGTTGACAAATCTTCACAATATTATAGGATTTAGCACACAAATATTTTTACCAAGGTTTGCTAGTCTGCAATTACAAAATGTAGAGTACCAATCAGGAGAAGGAAGCTTGCGACTTGAGACTTGAAATAACTGATATTACAGTACGTTTTGCTGTGCTGGTGGGTGTACATAGTGAGGTCATTTTACATCTCAGAACAGACCGTGTGGGTCCACTTCTCTACTGCACCTTCACCTCTTTTTTAAATCTCCAGTATAAGTCGTCACTTCCTGGTTTCATATCCAGCATTAAAGTCCAATAAAGCAAAAAGTGTAAAAAATATGTTCACCTTCAATTTAGTCCATTGAAGACTCTTCAATATCAATTTAAAGAATATTTGCATTTACAAAACTTTTTAAAGTTTACAATGGTATTGCTATTGCAATTTAGTCTCAAAAGGTAAAACGAATGTGTTTGGAGATAATGGATATTTTAAGCATGAACTCAATAAAAGTAAGCCAATGTGAAGACAAATGAATCGCTATGACCTCATAAACAAATTGGTGTTCGCATGTATTCAATCAGCGATCTCGTGCTGCTCTATTCCTGCCTTGGCTGTAAAGATTAGCTGAGGTGTCCATTGATACTCACCAATAAAGAAGGTATCTGGGGCCTTATCACCACTGAGCAGAGAAACCGTTTCAGGGTCAAAACGGAGCCACAGTCCCACTGCAAGAACAAAGGATCCCATTAACTGGAAGGACAAAGACAGAGAAATGTACACATTTAGTTATATGGCAAGTTTATTACAGTGATACATTCAAAAGAAAAAGTGGTATTCACACATGACCTGCTGAGATTTGGGTGTTTAATTGGAAATAAACCCCTCAAAATAAACTTTAATGGAATTTTGCTTCAGAATCAAGAAAACACTATTTTTTCAATCTAAAATCTGACCTGCATTGAGCTCTCTGTTTTCTGGCCCTTTGAAGCACTTGCTTTGCAGCTCCTCCCACTAGAAAAATGGTTTTAACTTCCCTCTCTGCTGCTTCACTTTTTGCAGGGAAAGGAAACCCATAAGCAGCTGTTACTCGGAGAGGATAAATGTCACATTTTATGTCACAACAGGTATGATTTCTATCTGTGTGGTGGATGGATCATGCTCAGTACCGCCACATCCAGGAAACTGTGACTTATGTAACTCTGAAACACTTCAAAGTGATCTCTGGCTTCCTGGTATGGAGAAAATGACCGTTTTTCTGTGGGCTGCATGTGGCACCTTGAGCTTAAACAGGCTTTTCTATTTGTTTGGAAACTCGGCTCATATTTTCCCTCATCAAAATCTCCATCAGTACACACAGGGAAAAAAAAGATACTCAAAGCTCTTGCTTCAGGGCAAGAGTGACTACAGTGAGCATTTACTCTCTGACTGTTCAAAGAACTTTAAAGTCAATGTTTTTCTTTCACAGTTTTGAGATGCTTTCAAGGGTTGAATTGGGAGCTCGACTGACAGATCAATAGGGGGAAGCTGTAATGATCACTTAGTCGGTGGCCCCCAGGGATAATCCAGACTAAAAAGCTTTTGAGTTTCAAAGCCACTCACTGTGTGTCTGCGAGAGTGTAGAGAGAGAGAGAAATAAAATCATTCTAACTGCTATGTATTTAGGAATGCTTGTGACGCGGTCTCTCTTTCTCTCTCTCTCTGTGTCCTAGATCTAAAATTCAGGTAAACAAGTGTGTGTGTGTGTGTGTGTGATGGCTTGCTTCTGTGTTCTCAAACAATGTGAAGTGAAGTCCCGCTGCCAAATGCAGGAAAAAACAAACTGTTCCAACGTCACTGTGCTTCGGGACGTCGTGTTATCCAAATGTACCGTCTTTTTCTGCTTCTGCAATTTCTTTCTTTCATTCTTTATCACTTGTCTTCCATCCTCCTCCTCACTGTCCACAGGCCTGTCTTCTAAACTCCAGATCCACAGGTTATATTTTCAAGTTCTGGTTTGAAGTGAGGCCAGTAGCTCAGCTGTAAAGCATCGAAATGGGACAGGTGTTGGAAAGACAGCTTCCTCCCAAACAGAAGATTTAGTGTCCCGTGCAGTGATGTATGTGACAGCTGAGCTCCTGGGGTTACAGGATTAGAGGGTCCAAAGTGATAAACCAAATTGAAGCAGAGGCTGTAGCTTTGTGGATTTACAGAGTTAAGCAGAGTTGGAGCTAAGGAGTCTGGATCTCTTCACCGGCGGTATCTGTCCGACCATCTTCTGACGCAGATCCTTGGGTAAGGGCGGGGGATAGGCCCACAGTGGTGGAAGGGGGGAGCTGTCAGAGATACTGCGGATTGTATGAAAGAGGATGTGGTTTGCTAATTGTTGACACGAGGTGACTTTTATGGTTGCATTTAAAAGCCTTTTCGAAGCTTGCAATCAGTAGCTGACAAGCTAAATGCAACCCCAACACTGCTACTCATGAGCCTGACTATCCCAAAGGCTATCCCAAAGGTCCTATTAACACCCTCTTTGCTTTCATTCCCCCCCTGCTACATCCCCCATTAACCTCCCACACCCCTCCCTTTTCTATTCCACTCAAGCTCTGAGTCCACCCGCCCTGTTTTATCCCTTATCCCCCTGTCGAATCCTCCAACACCCCACCCCACACGGCCTCTCCTTTCCAATCCGTCTCTCCCCAAAGGACAAAGACCTACTGTCTCCCAGGGACTGCACGCTTTACTGCACAATTGGAGGGAAACAGATACAGCGAGAGGCTACATAAAACAGAGAGGGAATAAATTAAAGAAGAGAGTAAGTCATTAGAGACCGTAATCTTCTTTTCTCTGTCAGTCGACACAGATACAGATCAGCGTTGTTCAGATACAAGATAAAAGTCTATTGTCCGTGTCTCTTCACACCAAAAATCCCTTTAATCAGTGTGGCTAGCTTTCTATATGTTTATATGGTGGGTTTCCCTAGAAACCCTGTGTCCCTTTCTGTCCCAACACCTCCGAAGAAATCTTCGCGTCTACATGATCCAAGGCGGGGATGGAAACGTCTGCGTTGAAGCTTTATTGAGGTTCTTTTTACAGTTTAAGGCCGACTTTTTAATGGTGCAGTTAAGCAGTTATTCGTGAGAGGAATTTCCAAGAGGGCAGATGTTGAGCTGACAAAGGGCTGTGGTCTTGGTCAGACACAGTTCGTGGTACTTTCAAGGTTTGCCCTTCCATTGTTTATACCTCTTATTCCAAGTGGGATGGCGGTGGGGCCGGAGCCTACGAAGTTTATTGTAAATTAAAGCAAAAAATAGAACAGAAAAGCAATACAGTCATAACGTCAGACCTGTGAAAAATATTGTTGTGCCTGGCTCATGTTTGGGAAAACCTGCGTAAGGCCACGTTAAAATGATGGGCAGAGGCTGTGTCTGAATAGGAGTGAGATAATTATGGGTGGAGCAAATCCCATTGTGCTTAGTGACGGGCAGGGGTGGTGGAGAGCAAATTCTCAAATCAACTACCACAATGAAGTATCTTTGCAGGACAGAATGTTCTAGTGGCATAAGCTATAAATCTGAAGTCCTGGGGTGTAACCATAAATGTTGAAATAATTGAATTTCCAAATTGCACCAGCCTACAAATGTGGCTGATATTTGATGGAAAAAGGTCGAGACCGTTTACCACAATTAAAAGTTTTTAAACTTGGCTGTAGGTTCTGCTAAGAAAGAGCTACTCTCCTTTTTTGAAGAGGCTGAATATGCGGAGCCAGTAACGCCTGGTTTACAGTCCAGCATCACCATGAAAAAAGATTTGCATAATGCCTGCCTGATGGCTACTTTAGCTATTGCACACAAAGAATGAGCAGCTGCCTCGCCCTCTGTTGCTTTTAAACGGTCATCTGACAAACCTGGACCTTTTAGGGGAGGCTTAAAGAGAAAAAGGCTGAAATAGTCTTTCCAACAAAAGGGAAAATATTCCTCAGCATGAGACGAATAATGTTTCCTGTTGATTAAAGCATTTCATACCTAAGAAAATGCCAGATTTATAAAACTGAACCTTTTGATTCAGGTCCAGACATGATTTTCTGCTTAGAAAAAAACGCTTTTGTGTCTTTGTTTGATCAGACAAAAGATCACCTTTAACAGGTGATAGAGTCCAGCTGGATTTTGAAAAGGAAATACAGAGTCAGGAGTTCTGGAAAATGAAGCATTTAGAAATAAAATAAAATAAAAATGGAACTATACTTTATTGGGAGACCAGGCTGAAATCCACAGACCCTGAAACGTTGCCCATTTAAGTGAGAGCAATACTGGCTCTTTTTTGTTGCAACTGTTTAATCTTAACTTTCTAAATGTGGAATTATATGGAAAAACAGAGTTAATGCTCATTTCGTTCAGATATTTTGCACTTTGTGACGACAAACTTAGAAACAAAAAGGTCCCCAACAACCAAATTTATATGTATAGCCAAAAGTCAGAGCATTTCTAAAAACTCTTACCTAGAAATAGCAGGGGAAAATCAATGGGACAGAAGCTTCTCTCCAAAAAATGTGGCCATAACCATTTATGGTACTACTGAGAATGTAGATTAACCTTAGTTGTGTGTCCGATAGGCTGTGGGGCATGTCGCTTTGCATTGATCGTGACACACTGATATTTTTGTGATAAAAGAATGCGCATCTGTTGACTGCATGTCAGAAAGAAGCAGACGCGCCACTTTTCCGCTGCCTCTGATCTCTCAGGGAGATCTGAACGTAATTATATCTGCTCTTCCTGCATTTGCCATCATGTCACGGACACACTCCTCATCATCTCTCACTCTAACAAACAGCAGGCCGGCCAGTATGGGACTGGGATGCTGTACTCATGAGGGCCTGAAATGGGAACTCTTTTTTTTTTTTTTTTGGAGAGGGGAAAATAGTAAAAGGCCAGTTTATTTGATGTGCTGTGCAGTAAGTAATTTGTGTAAAACTGCAGCATCAACGTGCTGATCTATCTTATCTGAATCTGGGTCAAACGCCTGCCAACTGTCCCTCTTTTGCCATGTGAGCGCACAAACACGAACACAAATATCCCTCTCAATCTCCCCATGACCCTTTTCTTCCCTTTCGCATTCACTGCCCTCACGCTGTTTCTCACCAACACTGTCTGTCAGACATTTCCTCATCTGCTGCAACACCTGGAGTGTTCTCACCTGTCATCATCCTCTCTCTCTGCCTGTTGCAAAGCTTGTGAACTGCTATAAATAAGTCAGTAGTGGGACTAGTGTGGCCCCTGCATTTAGGGCTCTCACAGGGTCTGCTGCTGAGTGGCTCCAAAACAGCAGACTGAAATTATGCCATTGTCCCTCTGGCACAATAGATCCATTCACTGCATCCTAGCGCCTGATGCCCTCCACAGATGCTTGTTGGAAACCTCTTCCTCGTAGACACTCACAATGGAGGGTTCTCCATCAGAGATGAGAGGGAATTGAGGTACACATCAGCCAAGGCGTGGGAGGAAAACATCAAGATTCTCCATAAGAAAACCCAGAGCATCTTCACACTTAAAATACTTTGGGTCGGGATGGGTTCAGGGGCAAAGGCAATGCACAAACTTGACAGTTTGAGTTAGATTTTGTGGCTCAGGATGTCAAATCGACATTTAAAGGATGGAGCAGAGGTTGTGGTATAAAGTCAGTACAGGCGTGAAACGTTCAATGACTGTAGAGTTTGTTGACCACGCAGCCTCCAACTCTTTCCCCTCTCTCCACGTCTTTTAATTCAGTCTTCCTTTCAAAAACATGCTTCCCCGTGAAAGGGGAGGGGGGGGGGGGGGGTTTTTCCCCCTGGGGAAAAACGGGTTTTGGCCCGGCGGGCCAAAAACAAAAAAAAAAAAAAAAAAACTTCGACTGTCAACATTTCAGCGCCAATTCACGCGGGACAAGCGCACATTATGAAGGGGGAGGAAACCCGCAGCATCCACGCTCACAGGGCTGGATAAACCGTGGGTAAACCCTCGGTGGGTAAAGCTCCGTTTCCCGGAGCGCTGCACTTGTTCGGGCTTTTCTGAGCCCCCATCCCGCAGCCCGACAGGAAGAAACAAAAGTGCACTCACCCAGAATATGAAGTTGAACACGAACAAGAGGTACTTCACGCACTTCATTCCTCCCATAACCTTCCCCATGTCGGCGTTTTTTTCTGGAGAGAGATGGTGGGACAGCCGGGGTGGATTTGCACAACGTGACAATAACGGTCCGCCGTCAAGAAACAGCCTCTGTGTGTCTCTCTCTCTCTGTTTCTCTCTCACTCTATCTCACACACACACACACACACGCACACACACACACGGTCGTGCACATACAAAACACCGCAGGATCCGCTTAGACTCTTTCCAGACCGCCCCTTTTGGTATTGTACAGGGCGGCCAAAGGGGGGTCGAGACTACTCGATGGGGACTTTGGGACTTTGCGTTGTTTGTTGGTGATGACGTGTGTTTTCTTTAAATAAGCGAAATAAACTTTTAGTTTTTAAAAATTTTAATTCCAACTTTTCATGCAACTTCATCGCAATTGAAGGCCTCCTCAAAGCGTCCAAGTATGGAGGGAAACAAAAGCAAGGCCGTTTCTGATATAGTTTTGCTATTGAAAAAGGTCAACCTGCTTTAATAGGAAATGGGCTTTGCCACAGGAAATAAAATGTGAACCACTGTAAGTTTCCACATGATGCTTGTGAAAGTTGCCTCCTAGAACAGGATTGCATCACGGACCAGCTATCACAGATGCTTCACTTTCAGCAAAATGAACGTTACAATCAGTCCGAATCAGCATTTTTCAGAAAGGGTTTGGTCATCCCAAGCTAGAAAAGAGTACCAAGTGACCAGACAAAAGTAATGACCCAACAGAAAGAACTTAGAGCATGATACCTATTTGAGTTAAATTATCTCAACTATCATGCAAAATGATGAGTTCAATGTTTCAAACCAGCCTGGAATATGACAGTTAGTTTGCAAATATGCTGAAGTCTGGAGCAGACAGTGGATGTTTTGGTTATTTCATCCGATCAGACAACAGGTGCTCATGCTAATGCTAGTGATTTGCATGTAGCAACGGCTGAGCAGACTTCCCCAAACCCTTCTTGTGCAATCAGATAATTTAATGTCACCTAAAAAAAGGCTTACAGTAAACAAACAAACAATAAAAGGGATGCCTTTTATCTTAAGGTGGATGTTCATCATCTTACTTCAGATCTTTGCAGTTGTTGGCTGCCACTCAGTTAAGTTACCCAATTACAGAAGTCAGTCAATTTCCCAAGATTGAGTAGTATTTCCTGACAACCAGGCCTCAGTCATTCTTTCACTGACACCTTGAGAGCTGGAGAATAAATTAAGATCCGTGTTGTCACTCTCGAGTGTTGAAAATTAAATAGATTGACCATAAGAAAGTGGGTAAATGAAAAATGAAAAGGAAGAGCAAACTGAATTTCTGCTTGTTTACGATCACACTGGCTTTAAGCTGTGTAGTGCTAAAAACTGGGGTAGGTGAAGGATGTTGTGTAAAACAGTTAAAATCTCCACAGTTTAGGTTGTTCCTTTACGATCTTAACACATGTTTAATGACCATATTTCTGTAAATATATGAGCTAAGTGCACAGCAGAGGTTGTAAATGCTGGCGTGTTTTAATTACTGGCTCAGAACTACTCCCTGCCTAGGGCGGCTTTCTGCTTTTGCTTACTGAAAAAACAACGTTACGGTAATTTTGTTTTAACCATTCTGCTTTCAGTCCATAACTTGCTAGGCTCAAAGAAGTTCCCTTGTATAGCTCTTCCTAATGAAATGGAGAGCCAACCAGAATTCTGCTGTCAGTGACAGGGAGCAGCACCTTGTTCATCACAAATATTTTCCATGCAAAGGGAGAGCAGATGGAACTGTCACTGAGCACTTGTGTCGTATCACCATAGTTAGGTCAGTTGTTAGAAAATGTCCTTATAGAGGAACAACTGTCCGGTTGAGTGATGAAGGGAGCAGGGACTCAGGCATGTATGGTATGATGAAGACGAAGGGACAGGAAGTAGTTTGAAGAAATGCTGTCGATTCCTGGGACTGATCACCAGCCCTCCATCCATGTGTGCTTTAATGCATAAAATATTTGAAGGTTTGTGCACTGGGTAGTGTAGGGCGGGGGGAAAACAGTAGAGTTTATTTTGGATGGTACCCAGAGGAGTGCTAAAAGAGGACAAACTGATAAGGCCACTGGGTCCTAGCTAAGCGGCGGGGCAGTTGGTGGCTCAGTTGCTGCGTTGGTCCATGTTCATTTTTTTCCATTTGAATGAAGCATGTGAATAGATAAAAGGGTCGTCTAGTAAGACTTGTTGACATAAAGGCTAATTCTGCTGAGGTCGTTATCAGTCGACGCTCAGTTTCAGGACAACTGCTGCTCTGTACAGTTCAGTGTTCTGCAAATAAAAGTCAAAGATCACAAGGCTGAAAAGTCCATTCCAACAGTTGCTTCCATAGCGACGAATACAAGGGTTTCAATAATTGGCACCACAGTACCATCTACTGGTTAAACTCCTAACTTATTTCCAGTCAAAGGCTCAACCTCTTTAATCACACACAGCATGATGGAAAATACAAATGCGGCCTTATGGAAAATGCAAATGCAGCCAAATGTGTATTACAGGTCTTTAGTGGAATCTACTGTCTGAAAGCAAGGCTTTTCATTCACACCATTCACATGTATTTAACATAACTTAGAAATAATTCAGAGGTGTTTAAAACATATTTGGCGAATAGTCTGCAAGAAAATGTCCCCTTTCTCCTATTTTTACATGCATGTTCCAACATCCTCGAAATACACCGCATCGAGAGGAAGCTGCTCATAGTCAACACCTCTCACCACCCGTGTGCAGCTTCTGCCAGAGCCAAAGGTTATTCAAAGTCACTGTGTGGAAAGAATAATAAAAAAAAAACTTTGATCAGACAGCTTCGCCGTGATGAGGTTTCCTGGCAACACACCCAGCGCTTGAAACGCAGTGAGAGATTTGTGAGGCAGCAGCGTTAGTGAAGGTGAGAGCTAGGCACCAGGGAAGGGAAAGAGGGTAAAGGGGAGGAGGCTCTGTTTAGTAAAATACAAATTCGCTAAAGGCCACAAGAGTGCAGCAAAGTCTTGTAGAAGAGAAGCTCCATGCTACAGAACACAGGTGAGGAGCTGTTGTTCCATTGGACATACATGCTGAGAATATATCTGACGTCCAACTATCTTATGTCGATCCCCAGATGACCTTTAGTGCTAAAATGACAAACCATGTAACTCCTTTGGGGCGTTTGCCAGGTCCTAAAGTTTCATATCTGTGACCATAAAGCAATTAAAAAGCAAAAATTCTGCAAATCATTCACCTGTGCCAGCTTTTACCAGTTTGGGGATTTTTTTCTTTTCTTTTTCCCTCATCAATGGCTAATTAGAATTGATGGTCAAAAGTGTGTCTGGTAACACGCGTTGCTGTCTACTTTACACCAAACTGTTGAATGTTTGTCGTTTGGTTGTTCTGGATTGTCCTAATTGGGGAAAGGTGGTAGGACTTGATGTCACTGTGACTTGTCATTTAAAAATATGTTATATCAGAGAGACAAAAGCATAAACATTACAGCACATTGGTCACCAAATAGGTTTCCTTTGAATGGTGGCTGGGCTCAACCTTAGAGGAGCCACCCGGAGGGGACTAGGGATCCCGCCAGAGGAGCTGAAGAATGTTACTGGGGAGATGAATAGCTTGTCTGGATTTTTATAGCTAATAAATACTTCAAATCTTTCCAGTTCAACTCTGATTGTTTCAGATGTTGCTTTGCTTTTACTTTGCAATGGCAGTTAATTTACCCAAGCTTCTTCATCATCCATATCTTGTGAAGACCTCTACTGGGTAATCTTTTCTCATTGATATTTGTTGCATTTCACTGTGGTCCTGCATTGATGTTTATGTGGCATTCCTGGGCTTTTGAGAACTCGGTGAGTTATATTTTCACATCCCTCAGTGGTTATTATGAAATCCTGTGATATGATTTCTGGTAGCTCCTTATGACCAATTTAAAAAAGTTCTATGCTTTTCATATTTTTTCACAACCTTTGTCTTTTTGTTGCACATTCTGTCCAAATATAGACAGCCAAGGACTTCCCACTGACCTCAGTGGTTTTCAAAATGTCAAAGCCCCCCCCCCCCGCTCTGAGAAATTTCAGCCAATCAATGTTCCTCTGTTTGTATGAAATGAAGACTGGGCTCACAATTATTATGTAGGATTAAAACATTCCTGCACACTGGAAAAAGACTGGATATGCTTTATATTTCTCAGGGGAATACTGAACAGCATCTTTTTCAGCATCTGTTTCCTGGGGTTGCCATCACCTGTTAGGTCGTTTTGTTGTGTCTTTTCTTTATTTCTTGCATCTTACTAATAATGGAAGAGCTTCTGTGATTTATGTTCACAACTTGTCTTAACTGGTTAATTCTCAGTTGGTCATTGCAAGTTCATCAACGAGGGAAATTCATAAAAACTGTGGGTTGAGATGATCCATATCATCCCACATAATACAGACGATCCGTAAAGCTTAAATGAGTGGATCTAGTTCTAGAATGGACGCAACAAACCGGGCAAGTACTGAGATGTTTAATAAATAACAGCATGAACAACACAACAACAATAACATCAACATTAAAAGCTTGAATTCATTTTGTATATATACACATACTGTATATACTTTCATATTTGACTGTATAAACCATAAATATGACATGCAGTCCTCATAACTTAAAATAACCAAGACTTCTCTGACTGAGGTAGGGTCAGGGACTGAGGGGGTTGAATGAAGGTGTGTGTGTGTGCATTGTTTAGAGGTGGGGAAAGGACTACAGTATTGGCAAATAAAGCTGCAGTGGCTGTTTAAGAGAAATGTGTGTGTGTGGGTGCTTCGTTCATAGTTCAGTGTTCTGGAGTTGTCATGCTCGGTTAGTGTCCAAGTCTCCCCCCCCAAGACTTCCGGCTGAGGACGCACACGCAGGCGGCGTTGATGCGGATGAAACGCCACGCTGTCCGTTCCTTGAAGGTGGTCAGGGCACTAACGAATATGTGTGTGTTGGTGCAGTAGGAGTTCCAGTGGCGGCTGTCGATGCCGAGGCAGCCCGGGTTGCCAGATTTGGAGCCCTGCCTGCCCCCCCGTCCTCCTGGCCGACCCCCGTTCGCGGTCCCGGAGCCCCTGTGTGTGGGGGAGCGGCACGTGGTCTCATAGAAGAACTGTTTCTTCACCACGTTGTTGATCGTGACGTTGGGTAGAACCGTCACCTCGTTTCCAGCTATGTCTGTGGCTCGCGTCAGGTTGCCCACCCAGTTGTTTATGCTGTCACATACTGAGTACTCTCCTCGGTGCATGGTGTGGGATCCCGCTCTGCGCCTCACCCTCACCCCCCTCGCCCCTTCCACCTCGTAGTCCCCCCCTGCCAGGGCATCGTGCGAAGGGGGCACCTCACTGAACACAACGCGAGGCGATGGGCGGTAACGTCTCTTAGAGAAGAGCTTGGGGTCCACAACCGGGCTGGAGGGGTCAGGGGAGGAACCCAGTAAGGATTGCCCAGCAACAGGGCTCCTGTCCCGCGTGTGCAAAGCTGAGCGATGGGGCTTTTTGGTCCTGTGTTGACTGGTCCTGTGATGCTGCCTTGAGGTATGGTCCTCAGAAAAATGGTCCTTGGCCGTTGTCTCCTGCCGTCCCGCTCGGTGATTGGCTCCCGTCTGCTGTCCTGTTTTGCGGCCGGCTGCCCCGGCGCTGCGGGCCGGTCCACCTCCCATGTTCAGTACAGCCTGGACGCCGATCAGGAGGAGCAGGACCAGCGGTGACGACCTCATGGGCACACGTCCTGAGCAGAACAGAAAAGAAGGACTTTACAGACCATGCAGACACGACAAGGAATAGAAGCTTTGCTGGTGTTGAGAGATCTGCCAACTTTTCCTTTTGATGTATTCTCCTCAGCTTTCACGTCATTGCGAAGGGTTAGTAGCTTCAGCCTATAAATGGGCTCAGAGAACATGCACCCTTTTGCTGTTTTGTGAGCAGCTGCATTAGAGTGAGAGCCATGTTGTTAAAACAGTTTTATATAGCCCTAACCATAATTGTTTTCTAAGCCTTCCCAATTAGTTTTTATTTCTAATCCTGACCAAGTATTGTTATTCTTATGTATATGCCATTTTACACTTGGAGGAGCTTTGCTTTATAGGACTACATTATGGATTGTATTTAAATGCATGTATAAATTGCCTTTTAGATTTTTTTGATTGTAGGACTTGTTTTTTATTACAGAAACCTAATAAATTCTTTGAAGAATAGGCCTCAGTTTAAGTAATTACTAGTCACAGCCATGGAAGAGTTAGAGCCAGGACAAAATTGTCTTATTTCTGTGATTTGAGCTAAAGGGTATTCTCTGATTGACAGCTGATCTGCTAATCTTTGGTCCATTTTTCTCATCACATCAAGATCTTTAGGAGTGTCTTTATGTGTACCTGTGGAATGTGTCCAGTTGAAGTGGGAGCCCGTGTGGACTCTATAGCCAGACTCCGCTGCAGGCCGGCCCCCACATGCCTGCCACCTGGACCCCCTGAACCACAGCTCTGTAACACACACAGGCACGCAGAGAGGATTTAACACTTCTGCAAATTAAACTCAACAAAAACCATTTGCTGTTCACAAAACCTTCAAAGTTAAGTTAGATTATGAATTCCCACATCTGAAATAAATCTGCAGTATAAGTGATGACCACGCTTGTTTCAATTGTTCTAAAGAATGAAGGGGATTTCATCCAATTATCTGAAAGACTTATAAATTCAAGGTTTATGCGAAGAAAAGTGTAAATTGAGAGATGTAAGCTTTTTCAGAATGCAAAGTGGAAATTTGAAATAGAAAAGCAAAATAAAAAGCAGATAAACAGGATTCCCAAGTTATTTATTTGTGATAAGAGCACTCATCGCTCAATTCTTATTCACCACTTCTCTTCAAGACTACTCAGTTGAACATAATTTGACCAAATCAAATGCAAAGTGCTTAAACATGCTCACCATGTTTAACACTCAGCTCAGACTTGAAACCAGTTGGGATCTGTGGCATTTCACACCTCATTAGATGCTGTGAACCATATATTCTTGATCCAGAATCCTGCACATGAGCCACTAATAGCAGATGTGAACACATGCATTCAAGCTTAGTCATTGGTGCAGTAGGAACCTAAACAGACATACCATTCATGTGCATGTTGGAATGCATGTAAGGCTGTTTTGAAAAATTGTTAGAATGCCTTAATACTATGGTGTGTATGAACGAACAAGTCCTCCCACGCAAACACTCTGAGGGTCGTTAAGCTGAGTTTAGCTGACCTGTCAGTATTTTAGACCTGTCTGCAATGTTTGCTAAAACCTACCACGCAGGTACGACGCTGGAACACCTCAAAGTTTATGGGTGTTGTAAATATTTACCATCGTGTGTTTCGTTTTACCATTTTATTGTGAGAGGCACAGCCTTCTACCTGGATGTACACCAGCGTATGAAGCAGTTAAAGATTAATGACAACCTTTGCAGACAGGAAGTAGTTTCTATTTTTTAAAACTTCGATAGTAGTCCAATGTTCTTGAGAATGTTCTTTCATTGAAATCCTCCAAGTGCAGTCCATAACAACCAGAAGAGGTCAGTGCTGCCTGCTTTGCTTTGAACATCTGTCAAGCAGCTGAGACACATCAAAAAGTCACTGGCTTAATTCCCATCAGAAACATCAAATTGGCTGCTGGAGTGAAAGTTAGCATCTTAAATCAATCTTTTGGTATTTTCCCACAAACTAAGAATGTTCAAGGCCATGATTTCCTTTTTTTGTGCCATAAGTTCTATGTGTATGGTGATTTGCATGGCAGTAATGAGAAGTAAATGAGGATGTTTGCAAAAAAAACAACAAACTCCAATAATTTTCTTAAGTATTAATATTTTGTTGTTATTTCCCACTCCCTTTTAAAGAGGAAAAATGCACTGTTCAGCCAAGCACATTTAGATGATATCTATAGTTGCTGGCTAAGGATTTTCCAGACCAGTCACAGACGTCCACATCTTTTTGTTACTCTCTGAAAATAAATCTCAGGGCTTTTACGAACACAAAAAATAAATACTCCCACATTGTGGTACTTTTGTCTTTACTGATGGTAAAAGTTTCTCAAACACAGGCACAACATAATCTTTTATACTACCGGTAGATGCAAAAATGAAATAAAATTATACACTGATGGATGTATTAGAGGAAACATAGGGTTTAATAACTTGTCCAAGTACAATGAAAGAGTTTGGAGGTTGACCCATGAACCTTCCAATTGGTAGACGACATCCAGGGCAAAAGATGTTGCCTCCAACCACGGCTGATGGAGACAGCTAAGGTTGTGAGGAGCTGACTTTTAACACTGATATCTTTGGTCTTCAATAAACACAATCAAACACAGTCACCCACACGTATACACATGTGGAGGTGGGGCAGTGAGTTGACTGATTCAGGCTGACGGGCAGCCCGCTATTTACATGGCCCCGGGTGAGCCTGGAGAATTCTAATGTTAAAAATATGTGGCTTGTGTTTAATACTGGTGGAGCCAGCGTAAACACTGCGTCGGAGAGGGGTCAGAGCGGTTTACACAGCACCTCTGACTTAAAGGATTACTTCAACTCTGGACCAGAATCCGTCCATCACTCTGACCCTTTCACACAAAGACTGTATACAGAATAACAAACACAAGCATTTCTCAGCCATGCATACACAAAGTGGGGAGATTCTCCTGAATGCTGAAAAGGGACTGGATGTGTTCTAAAAGGTGTTTGCAGAGCTAATTTTATCCCAAAGACCTGTGTCCTTGCTCCATTTGACAGTTAAATATTTTTGGCAGACTTAAAAATGTACTAACTTGGCAAAGTATCAGCTGACGTGACTGAAAAGCATTAACAGCTTACATTCACACTATTCTCAGACCGTGGAGGAAGACATTTGATTTGACTGTGATAAAATGGATTAACTCTCATGGTAGTCTGTAACATTTTTTTTAAATGAATTTTTATAGACTAATCCCAAGTGGAAGCTTGTGGTTTTAGAGAAAATGTCAACATCAGGATGACTGAGGATAAAAGTAACATAAGAAATCAGGGAATGATATATAGGAAAACTGTATCAGTATTTTTTTTTAACTAATTAATTTTGGTTTGACTTGTAATTTTTGCTTTGTCTCACTGATTTTATAGGTTGAAACATTAAAAAATATTTATTTTGACAGCTCTAACATCACAAATTGTGTTGCAGGCATTTAAAACAATGTAGATCAGCAGAAATAAAGGAAACAGCTATTTACTATCACAAATACTATTATTGACCATTAAAATATATTTCTATTTTGTGAATGAACTTGAAACTGGCTTATGTAAAACAGTTTGTGTCAGAGCTGAGTGGGAGAACCTCATACTTAGGACAGTCTTCCCCCAAAAAATCAGACACAAACCCAAATTGGAGAATCCTCAAGCGCATTAAAGAGTAAGAAATCCTGGTCCAGAGACTGACTTATGAAAAAGGAATTTGAAAACCATAGGAGCAACAGACATTGCTGGGTTTTTATAGCCCCCAAATTTTATGTATTGCACTTAATCAATATGATTTTATAAATCCAATGTTGTACAGATTTTTAGGAGAACAGATTTGGTCAGATGCTTTCTTGTAAGCCGGTTCCCATTCACACAGCCAGGCTTTTCCCCAAGAACATTTTCTGCTGAGTCATCCATCACTTTCACATGCAATGGTTTTGCGTGATTGTTCCAGGCATCACGCTGCACTCAATCTGCAAAAGATGTGTTTTAAGAATGTTGCAGAATTTCTAGATAAAAGTAAATTGAAAGAAACAGCTGAAAATAAAGAGGAAAGAGTGCGAGCCAGCCACAATGTTGCTGGTTCTGACCTTTTAGTGCCCCCAGTACACTATCATCTGGTCTGACAGTCAACAAAATGAACTACTGACTGAACTGGAGTACTACTCAAATGGTCGCATTTTATTAAGGTTCTGGCTAAAGTTACTAAGAGTCCGGTGGGCTAAAACATGAAAGAAGAGCGCTGTTTTCCATCAGTGCTGGGTTAGTTTACAGTAAGCCAGACTTTGTCCCTAACTGTGTGATACATTAGTCATTACTTACAAGTCCTTGTTAAAAGATGCGCAGGAGCAGCATGTCGGCACTGCTCTCAAACAAACACACGTCTCTCAGAGTGATGACAACTACGCCAGATTATGAGGGGGTGAGAAAGAGAGACTGACAGTAGCCGGGGCTAGAGAAGAGAAAAAAAGGCAGGCAGAGAGAGGGTGACGCAGAGAATAAAACAGGGAAAGGTAAACAGTTTTTCTGTGTCTCTCACCAACTAAGTGTGTTGCATTTCCTTTTGCTGTCAGCCACTGGAAATGACCCTAAGGCTGGATAACTGCCAGGTCAGCTTGTTCAGTTTTCCCTTAAGTAGATCTCTATCTTATAAAATGATTAATTTTAAACTAATGTTTCAGCTTGAATCCAAGAACATTGTGGAGTTTTCTATTTCCGAGGAGGACACTATTCTGGCTGGAGCCCTGGTCATACAGCTTTCACGTCTCATCTGCTCACTGCCTGAATAACAACCGCAATGAACGCATTTTATTTATGCAAAAAATTTCTCCTTGTCACCGTTTAGGAAAGCTGTCATGTCAAACTAATGTAAAAGGAAATAAATAGCTTTTCTCTCACGTAAAATGATGTAATGCAATATGTGTTAAAAGTATAATGAAGTTCACTCCAAATGCTCTTGAGAGGTTGCCAGTAAGCAGCCATTTGTTGGAAACTCTTGTTGATGGAATTAACTACACGGGCCAGACACTCAGAAAAAAATAAATCTAAACCACTCCTAATCTTATGGAACTGAATCACTAAATAACTACATTTTTATCAAATGGAATGGACATATATCCTGCTGCAAAATAAACAGAACTTTACTTTAAAGTGATGGAAATTATGTAATTGCGCAGCGCCAATCCACAGCATGCTGCAGCTAAATTGTGAACTAATTTTAAAGATATGAAGATAAACCTTTTTCACTGCAACCACTTAGACCTGAGAGAGTAGTTAGGCAGAGATGCTGGCACTATCCCAGGTTCCTATGCACGGATCAATGTGAGCACATATGATTAGTTTACATCAAAATGAAAACATTTTCTGCACATAAGCTAAAACATGTACCCTCCAATGTTGTCATGAGGCTTGGCATCTTGGAGAACCAAAACAAAAAACTGTAATGGGGAAAATCTGAAAATGTTTTCACTTTGTACCAATTACAAGTGACACACTCACAAAAAGATCAGCAAAATGATACCATAAATGAATTCCTGCCTGAAACTGAGATTATGAATGAACTATCAACACCATTGATGGCGTTGGTTGCAATGAAAAGTGTCAGCACATAGAGTCAAAACAGAAGTGATTTAACCGTGAACTGAACATTTCAATATCATAGGTCCAGCTTAGCTATGTGGGCATGACATGGTGTAGTTTCAGTAGAAAAACTGTGTTAGGTGAAATCAGTTAACTTTATGTATGAGTGTAAGCATGAATAGTTTGTTGGTTCTCTTTATAAACGCTGTGATGAAAAAGCTCCCTTCTCCGAATGTACTCTTGGTTCCTGGATGTCTTAAGCAGTCTTATGAAGTCACCCACATCTTTAAATAGCATGAGAAATGATATATTGACGTGTTTCACTCTGCATCAGATATCTAACACCAATTGAAGTTTACAGGACTGATACAAGTTTGGGCACTCACAAATATGAAGAGGATGGTGTGCCAAAGCTTTCGATCAATATGTTTTACCAAAAATGTTGACCAATTTGGAGTGGAGAGCACAGTAACTTAAGAATAAAATGCAACAGCTGTTATCATATCATACGTGACACAGGTACACAACAACAAGCTTTTCTTGAGCTTATCCACACTTTTGGCTCTCTGCTCTTTTCAAGTTCATTTAACAGAGACATAAGCAAAAATGGATGTACATTGCTGTCCTGAGACCTTATTATTTAAAGAGACATTTTC